TTATTGAATTTTCTTCATACAAATTCTCTCATTTCTATTTTATTTGCAACAAAATCTCAAAAACTATTCTTTTTCTTTAATTCACTTTTCTCTAACGCTCTTATTCTGTTAGTCTTTCTTGTTATTTTATTATCTCAATGTGGATACGACCGCCCTTTTGTGCTATAATTGACCGCTTGTGAATATCACTTTTGGGCGTTAATCATCTACGTTTATCCTTCAAATCCTCAAAGAGGTCGACCCTAAACATAACATGTTTGCCTAAAAACTAAGGTTTTAATTTGGCATGGGGGGCAAGAAGGGATCTACGGACCACGTTCAACAGCAAAAATAAGTTCAAAGAACTTACAACGCCGAGTCCTCTAAGGACGAAAGGCTAACAAACATAGCTAATAGAGCCTCTAAGGAGGAGAGGCTAAAAAGAAAAAAAAAATATTCGACTATTTGGCAGATCAAGACACTCTCTAATGTTTGACGTTCTAGAGCTCCAGCGCCTCTCTCACCCCCTTCAATCTTCCCTCGTCCAGATACTTGACCTCAGCCTCTTTCACTTCTGTTAGCCTCCACTTGCGCTTTGACCTTCTTTAATTCCTCAAGAAGGTCTCATACTTCCCACAATGCCTTATTCCTCTCCCTTGCGTTGGTCTTTGAGGTGAGTTTTTCCGCGTCGAGGACAGCCATAAGGATTGTCCCGATTTGGTCCATCTCATTGCTCCGACCCTTGGCCTTAACTATGTCAACGAGGATGAGGGAGAGGATAAGAGCTTGTAAAAGTGAATAGGAGGACCTACTTAGAGTATAGAGTACTAAGGGAAAACTAGGAAGGTCAGCTTGCAGAAGGAAATCCAAGAAGGTCGAGGCTTACGTGTATCTGGTGAGAGACTTTTATGTTGGTGGTCGATGAGAGAAGAAATGTTGGCGTCGAGCATTCAGAACAATACGCAAACAACAAAAGGTAAGTTTCTTAGTTCGTATTCTTCTATTTCTAACCATTCTCATGTAGGTATCATTACGAGCTAGCGCAAAAGTATAAAAGAAAGGTAGTCTCTACGGGGCTAATGCAAGAAAACAAAGAGGAAATGAAACTTGATCCAACAGTTAAAATTAAACTCTCGACTGCCACCTGCTAACATGGTCGACATTACTGCTCCACAACCTGAGAAACCAGCAATAATGATGGTGTTGTTTGAGAAAAGTAATTGCCAAGCTTACCAATGAATGATTTCTCGACTTGCCATAGCTTGAAACATCACGACGTAATATTCCAAGCTGGGGGGCAATTATTACAACATGGTCGACCATTCAAGCCACCCACTTTTTTCGTACGCGTCGAGAGCTCCAAAAGTCAGGACAAATCCCTGATGTCGAGAACTAACAGTTAGGGAGACGTCTCTAGGTTGAGGAGCACTCTTGGAGTCGAGAAGTGCTTAAGGTCCTCTTAAGGCCTTTGCGTTGTTGAAGTCGAGAAGTATGCTAAAAGCCCTTTGAAGCCTCTGCGTCGAGGAGTCAAGGTGTTGGAGTTGAGAAGTGCTTAAGGTCTTCTCAAGGCCTTCGCGTCATTGAAGTTGAGAAGTCTACTAAAAGCCCTTTGAAGCCTTTGTGTCGAGGAGTCAGGAATTAGATCAGACCAGAAGCAGTCCAGTCAAATCCAGCCACGGTCTTGTCAACTCGAAGAGAGAAGTATTGATCCGATTGCTACTGCAAGAGTCAGGAAATCAAGCGGCAGATAGGAAGGATCAGCCGCGTTTCCCGGAGCAGTCATCATGAAAACCCACCTACCCTCACGTGGATCGAGGGCAGAAGATGGCTTCTTCCTTGGGAACGGGGAATACGTATTCACATGTAAAGGCCTATAAATAGAGCTAAGAAAACCGAGAAAGGGGGGGAGATACCATTTCATTGCAAAAGAAAGAGAGTTTGTAACCGGTTGAAAGATTAGTGCATGCACAAGTGGATTAGGCAAAGAATTATTGCCGAACCACTATAAAATTGTTGTCTCCTTTACATTATTTTTCAGTTTTTATCTTTGATTGAACCGTGAGTGTTTTTTGAGAGGTAATTACGAGTTGTTAGAAAAACACTGTCAACAGCCACCATTAGGCTTTCACAGCTCGTCTGCTCCATGAGATCCCCAGCACAAATTTTTTGGCTCCGACTGTTACTCACCTACAAGTATCACTACACCACAATAGGCATTTCGTAGTTGTTAGTTATAACATTTTTCAAAAAACATTACTACGCTTGTATATAATAGCGTTTAAAAATAATTATAATATATATATATATATATATTAAAATTTCATGACATTTTAACATATTTGTTTTATATATATTTAAATATATATGTATATACACCTCAGAATTATATTAGACAAGTATTGAAAATTACTTTCTCAAATTTTCAAATTCCCGCTCTCTTTTTTCCCTCTTTATTTTTTGCACTGCTTTTGCTACTCTAATACCCATACGACAAAAGCTTCCTCCACTGTCATTCTTTCAGGGCCCATTTAGTTCGCTGATTTAAATTTTTAATTCGAGTTAAGATGTGATTTTATGTGAGAGTTTTTTATTATAGTAAAAAAGTTAGATGTGATTGTTTATGAGAGTTTTTTACTGTAACAAAACTCAAATTCTAAACTTAAATCAGCGAAATGAACGGGGCCTCATTTTTCACTCCTCCACGCTGCCTTTTCTTCTTCATTTTTTCACTCCACACTGAAGTGAAACTAGGGTTTCTTCTCTCTACTGCCGCTCCTTCCATTCTCTCCACTACTGCTCCATCTCTTCACGGTGACCCTCTCTTTCTCTCAAAAGTCACCCACCCTTGTGGCCTTGCTTCTTCTTCTTCTTCTTCTTCTTTCTTCTCTGTCAGCTCTCCTTCAGATTCAGCCTTAGGGAAGTCGCGTTCTTCTCATTCCTTCGTCAAATTCGGCCTTCGGGATGTCAAATTTCTTGCAAGGTCGCAGCTCCGTTTCAGGTATTTTCCCTATCTATTCTACTTTGTGGCCATCCATGGCTTTCTCGATCCCATTTACCAAATCCTCACTTGGATCCTCCAAATCGGCCCTTTTCCATAATGGGTTCTCTTTACAATCATCTGTTCTTCCTGAATTTTTCGTACAGTCCCGTTCTTCGGGTATTTACGCAAGAGCAGCTACGGAGAAGAGTCTCTTTGTTTGGTGAAAATGCTCATTCCTTTGTACTCTATTGTTTAATTTAATTTATTGAGAAACCTAGTTTTGTATGGATTGGTGCAAAGAACCGACTTGTTGCTCAATCAAAATGAAACTTGAATCAGAGAAAAATAAACATTTCTTGTTATATGGGACTTATTTTGTGGTGATTTTCTCTGCAGGATATTGACGGTAAAGATGTTTCTGAAGGATGATTCTCTAGTAAATTCAAGGGAAAGGTGCTTTTGATTGTAAATGTTGCTTCAAGATGGTATTTTCTCCTTAACGACTGAGTTTTTCTTTTACTTTTTAATTATGCTTTTAACCAGTTTTTGTTTCGTTTTAATTAATACCAAGATATTAGAACCTGTATCTTTGAAAGTTTGATATTATGTGAATTAACTGAGAAATTCTCTTTGAATGTCAGTGGTTTGACAACTTCAAATTACTCCGAGCTATCACACTTGTATGAGAAGTACAAGACTCAAGGTAATGCTACACCTCATTAGTTATAAAGTAGTTCAAAATTTGATTATGTATCATGAAATTTGTTATATTGTCATCCTAAACTTTGAGCATAAAGTACCATTTTTAGTTTGACAAGCTAGTTTACTTTGGATACGGTAAAAAAAAATAATTTAATATATCAATATGCTATATTTATTCTGTTTTATATTAGTATATTCAAATGGTCAGATAAGATGCAATGTGCTAAATTACTTGTGCTCTTTAAGCATTTACCTTATTAGTTGTTTCAGTTTGCTTGATTTCAAGAGTAATTGATTACTCCTAAGTCCTAGGGAAGATGTACCTAAGATTGATAACTCATTAATCGTGTTTCCTTTCTCTTTTGTTCTCTATTTTAGAGTCTCTTCATAATACGTAAAGTTATGAAGAGTTGAAAGAGATTTTGGCTATGCTCTGAAATTCGTTGGTGAAGTCAAGGATATAAATGAGCTTGTAAATTTTTGTATTTGGTTGAAATACTTGCGTGTGAAGATCAAGTTTTGATGCATTTCCTCTGTTTTTAATTATTAAGCTTGTAAATCTTGAAGGGATGCTAGTATATATTGGATTTGAAATATTTTTAATTATCAACTTTTGCTGTGTTTGTTTGTGGGTTGAAATAATTGCTGTGCTTTCAGGTACATATACACCGTGGCTATGATGTTTAATTTGGTAAGTATGCTTTGCTTCACTCTAACGGCCATCCCCACCAATATGTCGAAGTTAGTTATAAAGTAGCTGGAAAGTTAGAGGCAATATCAGCTATGCCTGTTTACAAAGATAAAAGCCACGAAGAACTGAGATGGGAGGACTATCAGTTGGGAGATAAAGGTATGTTTTTGGTAAAGTTTCCAAATACTAAAAGTTTGTTGCTCTTGTTACCAGAAGTGACAACGTTGACTGAATTTTGCATTGATTCATAATTTCAGGTGGATCAACACCCACTGCTCAATCCACAGGGATTTTTAGTTCATCTACTTCACAGCCAAGTGTTTTGGGTCCTTCACCTTCATTTACTCAATCATCCTCAAGTCTATTTTCTAACACCACTTCTAATCTATTTGCTCCAAAACCTCCAGTCTTTAGTAGTACAGGTTCACCAACGTGTTCTGTTTTTTTTTGTTTGTACTTGCAGCCATCTTAATATCAACCTCAACCTTAAGCGGAAACATACTCCAACAATATTGATTCTATTATTTATGTAGCTCTTTCTAGTTTGGTACCTTCGGTTTGAACATATATGCTTCTGTAGTTGATTGAGTGTTTGGTGTTTCCTGCTATTATTAACAAGTGTTTATCAAATTTCTGGGTATGGTAATTAGAAACAAATGATGTGTTTATCATATATGCTTCTGTAGTTGATTGAGTGTTTGGAGGCTAATGGACGATTGATTAGTGGTCGCTGGTTCCTTGTTTTGTTTTGTTCTTGTCTTTTGTGTGCTCTCTCCCTTTTTGTTTTTTTTTTCTTTTGTTTTTTGGTTTTTTGGTTTTTAAAAACTAATGTTCTCTTTTGTTAATCTTCTGAAGTGCTTAGATAATATCCAATTGAATTCTGTTTATTGTTGCAGAAGATTCACGTGAAGATGGTCTTGTTCAGGAGAAAGTCAATCTTGTTAAAGTGAACCAGAAATCTAATGAAGGACATGATGACCATAATATCATTTCTTTCTAATGCATAATCAATGGCAGAGAAGGATCGTCTCGGAGCACATCAATTTCCTGAAAAAAAGGGTAAGATGAGTATTAGTGAATTACCATAGTACTTTTGCATGCCTAATAGAAAATGGACAAATTTTATGTTTTCCCCTAAACCAGTTTTATTTTGCCCTTGAACTACAAAATGAAGATGTTTTGGCCCTTGTTATTTTTGTTTCAAGTTGTGGTATAAAATAACTGTATTTTACCATAGTAGATGATAAATTATTTCAAGGAATTAACTAGATTTCTTTTTTCTTGCTTAATGTGCAGCGTAGAGCCTTACAAGAGGAGAACACACGCCTCCTGAAAAAAGTGGGATTTCAAATTAGTCATATTATAATTTTGTGTATCTCCATGCAACAATATCTTTTTCATGACTTGTGCATTCAAAGTTTCAAGTTAATCATATATGTATTGCTGGAGTTTGACACAGCGTAGAGCCCAGGCCCTCCTCCTAGGCCAGGCCCCCCTCCTAGGCCAGGCCCTCCCAGCCCAGGCCCCCACCAGCCCAGGCCCCCCTCCTAGGCCAGGCCCCCCCAACCCA